AGTATTCTCAACAGTATATTTCACTTCCATCGATTAACAACAATGAATGAAAGAATGAATGTACAACTGAAAGAATGAATAACTAACACTAAAACCACCAGGTAGTAATAGCGTAAAAATGACAGCGTATATGAGAAAAGCATACACATACAACATACAACTACAGCGCACACAGCAAACCGCACATAGCGCATGTAGCCTATACGTTGTAAACATCAGCGGTACGGCGGAGTCGTGCATTGACACGAACACAATGTCACAAGCGAGAAGGCCTTTCACTCTCGAGAAATAGCGTAAAAATGACAGCGTATATGAGAAAAGCATACACATACAACATACAACTACAGCGCACACAGCAAACCGCACATAGCGCATGTAGCCTATACGTTGTAAACATCAGCGGTACGGCGGAGTCGTGCATTGACACGAACACAATGTCACAAGCGAGAAGGCCTTTCACTCTCGAGAACTTGGGGTTTCACAACAGTGGGTATTTTGCCAGCTTTTGACATTGGGCCACCCTTTGTTAATTCATTGTTTAACGTCCTTTTATTCCCGAAAAGGTACGCGGGAGGGCGAAAAAAAAACAAAAGCCCATTCCAAAAACTGGAAACCCCAATCAAACATTTTGACCAGTAAAGCATGTGATATATACAATATTTCTGGGTCTAACGGCACTTGCAGGCATAGAACAACACTCTTTGATGGTACATTGGAGCACATGCCTGATGAATCCAACAAAACAGGTACATAGCATGGAGTTAGCATGTCATGAATTCATTACATCTGGATTTTTACTAGGACACACACCGTACGATATTTAAAAGCCAACAAAAAAGAAAAAGAACACAAGACAAAGGCATGCCCGGGAGGCAAGATTATAAGTTTAAGGTCATGATCGGCACACTGTGAAACTACACAATCATGTATTTACAACTTCGCATATTATTGGTACTACTACTTTCTTGTTTTTTTTTCCGGTCGGAGGCAAAAGTGTACGCGGGCGCGGACGTTAAACAACGAAAAAACAAAGGGTGGCCTACAATGTCTAGAAAAACGGAGAAAAAGAGTCATACAAATACCGGTAACCTACGAGGAGATACATGTACATGTACTTCGAAGTACATGTACACCAATTTAAAGAATGCTATGAATAAAATAATCTGAGCACTGAGTGTGTGTGTGTGTGTGTGTATGTGTATGTGTATGTGTATGTGTATGTGTATGTGTGTGTGTGCGTGCGTGCGTGCGTGCGTGCGTGCGTGCGTGCGTGTGTGTGTGTGTGTGTGTGTGTGTCCTGTGTTCACTGGGGACGGTTGTGCTTTTTTGAGCTCCTGCCTACTGAAAGTCCTCGACCTTTGTCAACTTCACGGAGGCCTGAGGTGGCCCTCTTTGGGCCGCCTCTAGGCCAGGGAAAGCGCATGACGGAGGGAAGCATACAGCTGAGATACGGGACGGCAATAGACCGATCCCCTTATTATTGTCTGGGTTCGAGCAAGGGGGCAACTCCGCAGTCGCGTGGGATCCTGCTGCACACACGCGACCAACCTCACCGCGGCTGTGCGTGACATCTGGCATGCGAAGTGCAGAGCACACGAGATCTACATGCAGTGCAAGCCTGTCTACAAAAAATGCCACAAGCTGCAAGGACTTTTGATTTGAGCTGTTTTGTTTTTGTTTAGACGTCTTCCTTTTACGACTTCAGGATGCCTTCTCAGAACATTGCTGCGTTCCTCACTGTCAGAACAGGAGGACGAAGGAAACAAGTCATTTCACTCCTTTCCTCGTGTGGAGCCACAGCGGCCTGGAGCAAGGGGATCCAGGCTATTCCCCGTGAGGAAGGACGTAGTTTTAGGGTCACTCTGAATATTTGAGTTGCAGCGATCATTTCGATCCCGAAATCGAAATCGTTTTGCCCAGCTCTACAAGGACAGGATGAGTCCAGGAAACCAAACAGCTGTCCTACGGTACCAGGTTTGCTTTTCGCAAGAGAGTGGAGTCTGGACGCCCTGCTCCCCATGATCGCAAAACAGTATTTGCTGAGCCTAGTGCAGCTCGGTCATGGAAGTGCAGCGTCTGCATCACGAGCTCCCCATGCTCGCAAACCAGTATTTTGCTGAGAGGCAACGGCACTTTGAGTTGGAAAGGAACCTGGCTTAGTGCAGTTTGGTCCTGTAATGGAAGTGCAGCATCTGCATCAGGATTTGGCAGCAAGTAGAGCTCGTGTACAGAGTCTCGTGGAGCAGTTGGACGATGTGAGGACTGGGGTGAAGAAAGCCGAAAAACAGCTTACGTACAATAACATAAAGAAAGACTCTGAGCCGCTCCAGTTTCTGACTGGTTTGCCTTCAGGTGTTTGGACCGCTCTGTGGGACTTCTTTGAGCCTAGCCGAGAAAATGTACTGCGCCGCGCCAGATCTGCGAAGACGGAAGCTGAGGGACGGCGGATACAGTTGGAGGTGGCCGTAAATCGCCAATGAGCATGTAATGGAGGATCAGCTGCTACTGGCATTGATGTGTCTAAGCCTGGGCCGAATGGAACAGAAGCTGGCATGCGTGGTACAAGTTAACCAGCCGTTTCACGGTATATAGCTAGCTGAGCTGGAAAGATGTCTTGTTCCTCCGTTTGGGCATGATCCCCATCTGGGTGAGCTGGCGAGATGTTCAGTCATCAATGCCATGTACCGCAAGACATTCTGCAATGGGGATGAAACAGTTCTATTTTGCCATGCACTTAGGGTTCTCGCACCGGCACGGCACAACAAGACCTAACAGATCCTTGCGCTCTTATTTTCTCCCATGGTAACATTGCCGGTCACAACACCCGGTAGCCAGTCGCAGATGCAACCAAATCAACCAGGTTCTTTTTTTCCAATACTGAAACCAAAGGTATACCAATATTTGCATCGAATGCAGTGATGATTTCAATACTGTTCACTAGTACTATGCATTACCAGACTGGCATATAATCATGATAATATTATCCATTTCGCAATCACTGTCATTGCTTTCTTAGATCTCCAATCATCAATATCGGACCATAAACCGTCTACTAGTATCATCTTATACTCCTGCTACTATCCTCCTGTAACGATGAGCTTGAAGAAACGAAACAGCTGTCTAGAGGCGTAAATAATATCTGTCAACGGAAGTGTCCTTGCTGTGCTGGTGTGTTTATGCTTCGTGCATTAGTTCGGCCAAGAGCGCATGGTGGTGGCGGGTTGAGGATGCAGTACAGCGGAGTATGACCGAAAGCTCCGTCACGATGTAGTTTATTAGGAAGGTATAGAAACGGAAAAAAAAACCTGTATCTTCATCTTGGGCGTAAACAGCCCGTCTCACATTTAATATACTAGAAAATAGTTCACTCTGAACATGCAGTCTTCCTAAGAGAGAGAGGGGGGGGGGTATATTCATAGGTTCGAAAGAACCGCACACACACTTTGCTGCAGACAGCGGCAAGCTTTCGCCCTCGTGCTTCGATGAGGGAGCACCACTGCGCTACGCTTGCGATTAACAGCAAGCTTCAACTTTTCAAAGGTACGACTCATCACTGGCTCTGGGGTAATGTTCCTGGAACAAATGCCCCATTGCCGACTGAGGGGCAGGAGCACGCAATCTGCCTTCCTGGGCGAGAAGTGTTCCAGCATAAGAAGCAGCACGAATACATGCTGACAAAGACCACCATCACCACCAGCCGGCACACAGCACACTGTTCTTCAAAAACCATCCACTCCATCCCCACCATCCACTCCATCCATGTGTTTGCACTGTCCTCCTCTAGCTCTTCACGCTCAACAAATACCACGCACTGCTCATGGTTTTTTTTTTGCTTCCTCTGGGTTGGCTAGCCCTTCGACTTGACAAAACAGCGATCACCACTGCACTGCTATCGTCACCTCATAGCAGTCGCTTCCACCAGTGGCTTTTCCTGTCTTTGCAAGGTGTCCAAGGATGGCTGCTGTTGTCACTACAGGCAAATCAGAAGTACTTTAGTGGCTGATGTCCAACCAGATCGTTCAGTGGAAAATCGATTTTTCCACTTCAGGGCTGCTGATCGCGATCGCGACTTGGTGACTTGGCAGCACCACAGTTACCTTCATAGAAGATGGCTCTGGAGAGGAAAAGGCAGACCAGAAAAAGGTTACTATTGTCTTCAGCACCGATCTCAAGGAGAAAGAAATACGGTCTGCTAAAGCCTAGGCACAAAATAAATCTCAAAACACGACTCACGATTCGAATATTTCAACAACAAAAAAACTCACCTCTGGAGTAACTCCTGTTCGTGGCCCGAGATCGTTCCCTCCCGCGCCTTGAAAAAATCCTACAGCTGCATCACAGTCCATGTCTTTCTCAGAGACTCTGCTCCTACCAGCAGGAGGTTCAGCACCGCTCGAAGCCATCGCAAACTACTTGAACTAAGCAGAAGACATTCCAAAACAAACCTGAAACACACTGTCAAAGATGCTGTCACGTTCAAAAACTAGCTCGATCGCGAGTGACGTTACCCCCGTGCTCGAACCCAGTATAATAAGGGGATCGGTCTATTTGGTGCCGTCACTTTTAGTTGTACCCGACGTCGCCGCTCGCGGAGGTTTGACAAGCCCCCGAGCGGATTTCCACAACATCGCGCGATGAAATCTGTCAGAGAGAAGAGAGGGAGATGGAGACGTTGCCTGCTGTGTTTGGGCTCATGGAACGTGAGATCCTTGGTGGAGCGGGACGGCGACATCGACACTGCTTGTGTTTCTGGACGCGTCGTGGAAGACAAAAAAATTCACCGAGTTATTTCTGAACTGAAAAGGCTGAAAGTGGCGGCGGCAGGCCTCCAGGAAACCCACTGGTTTGGACAAAATATCTACGCTGTCAACGGATTTACTGTGATCTGTTCGGGCCGCCCCACTCCTGGCGAAGAGGATAATCGACGTCGAGCTAGGTGAGGGAGTTGCTCTTGTTTTGAATCGTGATACAACTTCGGCGTGGAGGGCTGGCGGCTGCGTATGGAACGCGGTGATCGTGAGTTCTCGGATTGTGAGTGTACGTTTGAAGTACTGTGCAGCTGATGGACCGGATGTTTGGCTCACTCTGGTCAGCGTTTATGCTCCAACGTTTGCTGCGTCGCGGGCATGCAAGGAACTATTTTATGACGATCTACAACGCACTCTGTACGATGTACCCCAGACTGACCATTGTGTAGTGCTTGGCGATTTCAATGCTCGAGTTGGATCTAGTGAGCAGGGTGATGAGTGGTCCACTGTACGTGGTCCGCATGGATTTGGTGCACTGAACTCTTCAGGAGCTGACCTGCTATCATTTGCTGCATTCAATCAGTTGAGTATTTGTAACACCTGGTTCCCCAAGCGAGACCTCTTCAAGCGGACTTGGCAGCACCCAGGCACTTTGAACTGGCACTGTATCGACTACATTCTAGTGCGCCAGGAGGACCGCCGTTGGTGTATGGACACTGCGGTCGCGCGCAGTGCTGAGTGTGGAAGTGACCACCAACTCCTCTGTTTAACTTTTGCACTCCGGTGTGGACGATTAGTTCGGGAGCGCGACCGGGCAAATGTGCGACGCCGCCGTTATGATGTTGCCCAGCTGCGGGTGCGCACCTCGGACCCGGACTCACCTTCGCCTGCAGAAAGGTACCAAGCTACCATTGCAACCGAGCTTGTAGATACATGGCAAGAACAGCACGACATAGATCAGAAATGGTCCAACGTCAAGGCGGCTATCGACAAGTCTGCTGCGTCTGTCTTGGGCTTCTCCCGGCGTCGCCAACCAGACTGGTTTCGGGAGGCAGAGTCAGCCATCCAGCCATTGCTAGATGAACGGAATCGGTGCTATACCGACTGGCTATGTAGTGGCCAGAGCCGCGACTGCTCGCACTACACAGCATTTAAGGTGGCTAGATCCAGGGCGCGTGCTTCCATATCCTCGGCTAGGGTAGACTGGATAAAGGCAAAGGCACAGGCGGCCACAGAGTCGAGATTCAATGGAGCGGTCGTATGGAAGTGCATCCATGACCTCCAGTCTTGTACCCGGGGCCTCGCCCCTGTGCGCACCTCCGCCGTGCTGGATGAGAACGGTAACATCTGTAGTTCACCAGAGGAGCAGAGCCACCGGTGGGGAAGACACTTTGACGGTGTTCTCAACGTGGCAAGTGCATGGAATCGCAATGCCCTGGACGACATCCCACAGCGACAGGAGGCTGATCATCTTGCTGAGGCGCCGACTCTCCGTGAAGTCAGCCGCGCTATCTCCCGCCTACAGAACGGCAAGTCCGCTGGAGCCTCTGGCATCCTCCCTGAGATGCTGAAGAGGGGTGGTCCTGACCTCACCGCCAAGCTTGTGGAGCTGTTTGGCGATGTGTGGCGTGCTGGGGTGGTCCCGCAGGAGTGGGTGGACGCCACGTTGGTCCCCATCCCAAAGAAAGGGGATTTATCTCGCTGTGATAATTGGAGGGGTATCTCACTGCTGGATGTTGTGGGCAAGGTTCTGGCGAGCGTCATCCAGACTCGTCTCCAGTCCGTGGCTGCAGATTTTCTCCCAGAGTCTCAGTGTGGCTTCAGGCGTGGCCGATCTTGTACAGATATGGTTTTCAGTGTTCGGCAGTTCCTCGAGAAGACCATTGAGCACGACTGCAAAGGCTTCTTTGTATTTATAGACCTCAAGAAAGCCTATGATTCCGTGCCTCGGGATTGCCTGTGGGAAGTCTTATCCCGAGCGGGTATCCCTGCTCCCATGCTTGCCGTGATCCGTTCCTTTCACACTGACATGTCGGCGGTGGTTCGGGTAGAGAACACGACAACTGACCCTATCCGCGTCACGAATGGTCTCCGTCAGGGGTGCACCATGGCACCTGTGCTGTTTAACATCTTCATGTGGGCGGTGGTGACTGTGTGGCAGCGACGAGTCCGAGATGTACCCGGTGTTGGTTTTGAGTTCCGGCATTGTGATGGTGACAATAACCTTTACCGCAAGCCTACCAGGACGGATCCGGTTGCCATTGCCACTGAGTCACAGTTTGCAGACGACTCAGCACTTTTCGCGATGACTCGTGCAGGGGCGGAGACGGCACTTGCAGTGTTTGACACGACCGCAGCTGAGTTTGGGCTTAAAGTTAGCGCTACCAAGACACAGTTCTTGGTTGCAGGTAGGGATGTTTCGCCTGGGGACTGCGCTCCAATCGAGCTAGCTGGCACGGTCATCGAGTGTGTTTCGGAGTTCCGGCATCTGGGATCTCTCATTCATCGCGGTGGCCGGTCGACACAGGACATCACTGCTCGGATTGCGCATGCCTCTCGTGCTTGTGGCGCCTTGCAAGGAACCATCTTCAGCAATCCTGACCTTGATTTGCATATCAAGAGGTGTGTGTTTAATGCATGTGTGCTGTCGCTCCTCCTCTATGGGTCAGAGTGTTGGACACCATTGCAACACGATCTCAGACGTTTGTCAGTCTTTCATATGCGGTGCATCCGTTCCATCCTGGGTGTGTCCCGCAGAGATTGCTGGAATAATCACACGACCAACGCCCAACTGTTGGAGATGTGGGATGACTCTGATACCATCTGCGTGAAGGTCGCACAGCGTCGCCTAGAGTGGCTGGGCCATGTTGCTCGAATGGACAGTAGCCGGATGCCGAGACAGATCCTGTTTGGCTCACTTCTCACACGTCGCCCAGCACATGGCCCTCGCAAGCGCTGGAAGGATTGCGTTGTCTCCGACGTAAGAGTTCGTGGCCTCACCAAGGAATGGTACCCTATCGCCTGTGAGTCCCGTGCTGACTGGCGGACTATGTACGCCGAGCCTGTGGAGAATGTGCCTCAGCCTGACCCAGTGGTATGTGCGGATTGCAATCGGTCATTCTCGCGCCCTGGAGATCCTGCTCGCCACAAATGTGTGGTTGAGCGGGCAAAGCCGATTGCTGAGCAGCGAGGGGCTTGCCACTGTGGAGATTGTGGGCGTTGGTTTCGCAGCAAGGGTGGTCTAGCTGTTCACCGCTGTTCCGCACCTCAGCCTCAGCCTCCCGAGCCCCGGCAAGTCTATGTGCAGGATGCCTGCTGTGCTGCGCACTGTGCTGTGTGTGCCCGCTGCTTTCGGTCTGTGCAAGGCCGCGGTCGTCACCGGTGCTCGAGGACTGGCCCGCGCCCGACTGCCCAGCAGCGTAATTCGTTCAGCCATGTATGCGTGTGTTCTCGCCGGTTCCGTTTGCCCCACCATCTCCGGCGTCATCAGGCTGCGTGCTCCATCTTCCTCTCTGATGCCCCTCCGGGGCCCACGTGACCCCTGTGGCAGTGGCTCTACAGGACAGGACAGGTGTGTGTGTGTGTGTGTGTGTGTGTGTGTGTGTGTGTGTGTGTGTGTGTGTGTGTGACTCATACTTCAAACACAAAAGGCAAGGTAGGTAGGTCTCAAGGTTCCAAGGTTTTCTTGTGACGATCATCAGTTGGAAAATACATCACAATAGAGAATACAAAAAAGGAACACATGCTCATACATGTACTTGAAGTAAATGCAGAGAAGGTGAAACATTTTTTTAAAGTTCAATATTTATAAGCGTGTTTCCTAAGACGCCCTCGTGAAGTCAGCGCTGAATCCAAACAATACGAAACTAATCTGCAGTCTCTTGGGATCTGGAAATTACATTGAGAACCGTATTAATGTCACTAACCGAGCGTTTGGCACTATCCTGGAAGAGACACACTTTAAGTGTGACTTTAGTATCTAGAATCATTACGTATACCACACTTATCCTTCCGTTTCTATTATACAACTGTGGTCTGTGGTCTGTGGACCTTGACAACAGCACTGGGCAACAGGCTTGACACGTGGCATCGCCGGAAACTACGATCCATCCTTGGCGTACTGTATCCACAAAACAATATGGAATAAAAACTAATACAAGCTGTCAAACTAATGACCTATTACCACTATTTCCACTATCACCATAACATGCAGAGAAAGGCGCTTGTTATGGTTCGGTCATGTAATCAGAGAAGGCATTGACTCAACATTCTACAAAGCTCTAAGACTAACAATCGACAGCAAAGACATGAAGAAGCACATGCTAAAAATATCTGCGCTTACTCACTGATCTTTTTGGTAAATAATATTCTGTACGAGAAGGGTTTGCTCCCCACATTGGAGCTCGCGCTACTCCGCCGACTTGACTTGACAATTCTTTGTTGCCATCTTCAATAGGTCCGTCAAATAGTAGTAATAGGTTTTTCATTGACCCGACGAGACCACACGACGCCTGCAGACAACAGCACGAACAGTTCACCAGCCACACTCCACGAAAGCAAGTAGTATTACTCCTGTCAAGTCTTGTTTCGTTCCATAAAGATGACGGGGATCTCATCAGAGGAGAAGCAGTTGTTGAGTGAAGGGGTTAAGCTAAAATAGAGAGATACCGGCGCAAGGTGTAAACACTCAACTAACTCATATATGTGACAAATCAACACCAAAAGGAATAGTGCAGAATGGAGGTGTTATGAACCCTACCAGACATAACTATCATAAGTGCTAAATCAATCACAATGAGAAGGAGAGGTACACAGCAATAGGTTGCGCTAGTTTACACGTCACAAGAGTACTGAGGTGGTGACAAAGATAGGTGAAAAGTAGACGCCAAGAGAAAGCCAACAAATCATCACGGACATCTAACGTCACATCTGAACATTGTTGCTAACTGCACAAGACAAATACTTCACGAACCTCAATGATTGAAATTCAGCCAACGGTAGGTGGAAGGAAGGCTGCTGGGTGAATAGAGAGAATAGCAACTAAATAGAGCGTTTGTCAGTTGGCAACCCCCTTTTAGAAACAAGACTTGACAGGAGTAATACTACTTGCTTTCGTGGAGTGTGGCTGGTGAACTGTTCGTGCTGTTGTCTGCAAGCGTCGTGTGGTCTCTTCGGGAAAAACCTATTACTTTACTTGACACTTGACTGAATCACGATTGCCTATCTAGAGCACACGAGAAGTACATCAAACCTTCGACTCGGCAAACCTGCAAGAAAGCACCACTCCCTGCTCAATACACAGTGTTTCGGGGAATTCACCCCTCATCGGTTGAGCTTGAGTAGGTTGAGGAAGATTGTGCCTGAAGAGCACCACTTATATAGTGCTCTCCAGGCACAAACATCACCAGGGATACAAACTTATAGAGACGGAGCAAACACTTTTCAAACAAACCATGGCCGAAGTCGCAACCACTATTTTATACTGTTGTGCCCAGCGCGGGCTTGCGACTAGCTGGTTTGGAGGTGACACTGACAGCGTTGTGAATGACTTACGGTCCTCGACGTCTGTTCTCACCGTCCAGGAGCGACACTTTTTGTTGTATTGCAAGGCCCACCGACAGGCATGACCACTCGAGGTCAGTTGGGACGCAGCCTTCCCCTCCCCCTGGCCCACAGTGCTTCTGGCGCATGCCGACCGCTTCTAGCCAGCTGCCGACTCTGGAATGGCCTGCCCGACTGTATGAAGTCCATAGTATCTGTCCGTGAATTCAAACGCATGCTATGCGTATTTTACTTCGGTTAAATGTAATGGCTTTCGTAACCTGCTGATGAGGCTCAAATGTTCAAAAAAAGGCAAAACACGACGCCATGTTTTTTGCACCGTAGCTCGTACAGTGCAACAGCCATGAGGCACGGCACAAACTACAGTACGGATCCACTATGGTGTTTCCCCAACGGCGTAGGTTCGTGGGAGAAGGTAGCACGTCCAGGGTTCTGGTTGACGCGGGAAGAAATTTCAAATCCTTACCAGTACCACCGTACAACCGAACAAAAGGGATTTGTATGTATGTTTATATTTGAATTCGCAAGTACACACGGGCTACAAGCCCAATTACATGGAAGCGAATGTGATAATGAGGTTAATTAAGAAAGGGTGGAGGAAGGAGGAGGACGGTAGCAAAGCAAAAGGGAGGACAATTCAGGAGCAAAATTAACAATTGCACAAATATGAGAGTACCTGAGACTGACGGTACCTGTGGAGCGATAAAATGCTAAATCAAACAGAAGAAAGAAAATCACAAGCCAATATACGCTAAAATGCGCTTGGGTTTTAATAAAGGGGGAAAACTGGAGCTCAAGAAAATTTTAACACACAAAGTCATAATAACAATTTAACTGGATGAAGAGTAGCATAAGCAAACATTTCCTGACAACGCGAGGGACTGTAACTACAGCCACGGCAGAAGCTGCTGTAGCAGCAGCAGCAGCAGCCGCAACAACAACATCAACAGCAGCAGCGCCGTGCAGACTGCTCCAAGGAGTATGGGCCCTTCCACGACAGGTCCTGCCACATCACCGATGTCCACTCCAACCACTTGTCTTGCACCTGAAGAGTCTTCAGCCTCAAAATCTGCTCCTGCGCGTTGATCTCCTCAACTGTTTGAAGGAGATCCTTCCTCGGGGTTTGGAATGCTCCTTCGGAGCACGAGCACCCAACCCTGCACGATGACTTGACGATGACGGTGGACGGAGAGTCCCTGAACCTACTGATGCCTCTGCACACTCCAGCTCTATTGGCGCCGCATACCGCTTTGTCAGCTTCGCATTCTTACTCCGACGCAGAGTGTACAGCGCTCTCATGCGCGCGTCCCCACTCGATCGAAGAATGTGCCATTTGATGGACTGGCACTTTTTCAACACCGTAGGAAGGTAGTGGAGGCGTAAGCCGAAGAGAGAGAGAGAGAGAGAGAGAGAGAGAGAGAGAGAGAGAGAGAGAGAGAGAGAGAGAGAGAGAGAGAGAGAGAGAGAGAGAGAGAGAGAGAGAGAGAGAGAGAGAGGGAGAAAGAGAGAGAGAGAGAGAGAGAGAGAGAGAGACAGACAGAGACAGAGAGAGAAAGACAGAGACAGAGACATACAGGAGAGAGAGAGAGAGAGAGAGAGAGAGAGAGAGAGAGAGAGAGAGAGAGAGAGAGAGACAGAGACAGAGAGAGAGAGACAGACAGAGAGAGAGACACAGACAGAGACACAGAGAGAGACAGAGGGACAGAGAGAGAGCGGTATACCTGCGTCTTGAATGCCTGCATTCGGCTGCGAGGGGGTGGATGCAGGAGCAGATCACAGGGCAATGTATTCAACTGGTGGAGCACACAGTAGGGAAATGATCGCTTCAGGACTAACGGGGTAGAGGCTGGCAGGCTGGCGTCCAGTTGAAACTGGTGGCCAGCAGCGCTGGCATGGTCGCTCTGGGTTCGCGGTTTGGCCGACTGCTGACGGCGAGCCGCTGACAGAACCGCGAGAAGTTGAGGTGGGCCCGTAATTACTTGTAGCTTGTATAAACAAGCTAGGGCAGCTACTGTCCGTCTGATTGCCAGACTGGGCAGGATTGCTCCCGGACCAATGATTTCGAGGGCGCTGTGCTGGACTCGGTCCAGTCGGCTGAGGTGGCTGGATGACGCTCCAATCCAGATAAGTGGGGCGTACTCCAGCAGCGGACGAACGAATGCCTTGTACACGGTTATGCGCCCAGCCGGAGGGAGAAGATGAGCAGACCGGCGCAAAAGACCAAGTCGCTACCTTGCCCGGGTTGCAACAGACTGGAGGTGTTCCCCAAAAGACAGCTTCTGGTCAAAGAGGACGCCTAGGAGGGTGATCAAGTTTGCCTCGGGGACTTGTATTCCGCCAAACATGATTGGTGGGAGGTGTAAGTCAGCTCTTCGGAGCGTTGCAGTCACTGCCTGGGACCTTGGGGGCTCAAATGCAATCTTCCATTTCTGGCCCCAGTTATGCAGCCGATCGATTGACAGTTGCAGTGAGTGCGCTGCACCTGCCGCGCTTGCTGGGGTGGCTCAAGACGGAAATGAAGGGCCTCGACTGCGTCGGAAAGGTTAATGTCAGGCGTGTGAGTTAGGATTTCGGGAAACATCTCGTGAGCTGTACCAACAAGGCGAGCAGGTAGTAGCCGTAGCTTTTGGTCGTCGTCGTACCCACTCAACTCGCATGTGTGGACGAAATGCCTCATGTACGTGGTGAAATCTTGGCCTGGCTGATTTCCGAATGTCTCAGGAAACAAGACTGGCTTCGGCAGTGGACGTGCATGTGGCCGTGGTGTGTCTGTGTCCGGCAAGCGAAAACGATGGGACAACCCTCACACAATCCAGCAGGTGCGGAAGTCAGTAGGTGCGCTGTGGCGGAGCCGCCGAAGCCTCACCCTGGCGTCAAAGACCCTGTTTTACAGGTCGATGATCCAGGGTAGGTTTTCGTACGCTTCCAACGCCTTTTATCCGTCACTTCAAATTGGCAACATGGAGCCCCTCACACGTCTAACGAAGTGCGCTATCCGCTGCTTCTTCGGTCTGCCACCGTGGTCGCGCACGAGCCCGATCTTTGCGGTATTGAAGAATGCAATCAGCTGGCGGAGAAGCGCGGCCCCCAGTGTCCACAGCATAATGATGTCATCAATATAATGCTTGTAGAGTACGGGAGCACCAGGCGAGTTTAGCAACAGCGAGGTTTCGAGGTCATGCATGAAAATAATCGCAAACGGTGGCGCTAGGTTGTTACCCATGGCGATGCCTTCCCTCTGGTGGTAGACCTTCTCACCAAATCTGAAATAATTGGATCTTAGAACGAAGGTTAACAGCTCTTCGATCTGCTCCACGCTTAAACCAAATGTGTCAACAGACTCGATGTGCTGCTGCAGGACTCTAGCAACCGCCTCCACCCCTTCAGCGATAGGGATACTTGGGTAAAGAGCGACCACGTCCATTGTAACGATGATCGTCCCCGCTGGGGCTTGTAGATCGGGATACACTTGCCGGATATCTTCCAGTGCTTCCAGCGTGTTTTTCAGATGTGCTGGGACATATCTCAGGCATTGGTTGAGTATGCGCTCCAGGACAATAGAAATATTGGTCACCGGGCTATCAACAGCTGACACAACTGGCCGAAGCAGTACCGTGGCTTTGTGGTCTTTAGGCAGGCCATACATCTCCGGAAACCTGTTGTCGCCAGTGAGTATGGCTTGGTACAGGTTCTTCTCTAGTGTACCACCACAGACGCGTTGAAGGATGGTGCGCGTTTGCTTCTCCCAATCATCGATGGTGACATTGACGGGTGTGAACTTTGTCTCATCTGACCGGATAGTCTCGGCCTTATCAAGGTACGTTGCCATCTTCATCGCCACAAACTTATTGCTCTTGTCGGACCTCTTGACGACCACGGAATCATCGTCGCGGAGGTTTGTAAGCCGCTCGCGGTCTGTTCGAGACATGTTAGGCCGGGGAGCTGACGCTGTTCGGTAGATATTCATGACCTCGCGCTTTAAACTGGCCAAGCCGAATTCTTCTTCCCTCGGCAGCTTCACAAACTATAATACAAAATAGCTTCATACATATAATATATGTATGAAGCTTTTTCACTCACAAAGCGACTGTTCAGTACATGGGGTAGTGGTCTACCAGAGCAATCACACTCACGGTAGTGGTCTACCAGAGCAATCACACTCACCACCGTGGTGGTTTTCCAGAAATGAGTAGAAGCAAAAAACCACACTCGCAGCCACAGAATAGATAAATAGCCGAAAAACATCTAAATCCATCAAAGAACCGCCAGCAAGCGGGAGAAAAGGCCGTGAAATCAAGTGAAACAGCATGGCCAGTGGTGAGCATGGGTGACTGGGCAGCAGGGGAGCGCCTGAAAATCAATGACTCCCTACATTCCTAGCCGCGACCGCTCAACCGGGCTAGAGGAAAAACACGCCTTTCGGCCAAAAAACCTTTCTATTTTCATTAATTCCTGCCCCGCTGCCAGTCAGACCCAAGAATAGAGATAGCAAGAAATGGTATGTAATAACCGGTGTATGTCATAATCATAAGCCACACACATAGGCATAGATTGTCAAGAAGAACAGCGGACGACTCCCATGAAACCAGGGTGGGTGGGCGGGCAACTTCAACTACCACGAGGAAAAACAAAGACCACGATGGCAGGTTCAACGGAGTTGCGCAGAACAAGAGCAAATGCACGAAAATAT